ACCTAGTAAGGGGCAAGGCTCTGAGCCAGACGAGGGAAGGACCCAGAGGTGAAGGTGTCCTGGCCACTGCCTTTGCAAAGCTTGCCTGCTAGTGAGGAGGGGAGAGCCAGGAGGAAAGGAATAAATTCAGGGGTGACCAGAATTACATGGAAACTTTCATTGTGGAGAGACCCATGCTTTAATGGATGGAAAGGGGTTCAACTGAAAAGAGAAAGTACATTCTAGGCAGAGAGAGTACAGAATAAGGCACAAAATTGCCCAAGGATCCAACAAACCAGAATGACAAATAGGTTTTTACATGTATCATTTCCTGTAATAAGCTTATAAATAAATGTGGGTACCAGAAGGTAAGCCCTACTAGTTTAGGGGTTTTGGTCCCTTTCATTCATTACTACATTCCTGGCTACTACCAAGTGTCAAGTCGCACTTTAGTAGGTGCTCAGTATTTTAATAGTTTATTGAATGAATAAGGTAGGTACTCTCTGCTTGCATTTTACAGATGAGGAAATGCACAAATAAGTGACATGGTATATAAGTAGTAAAGCCAGGATTTTAAGAAAATGTGGGAAAATGTGTTTTATATTGATGGGGCTGAAAAAGGGCCTTTAAAGCATAACATGTATGCAAAGTATAAAATAAGCAATTGACAGATTTGATTTTAAAAAATTTTAAATTGCTTTGCCAAAAAAAAATCAGTATTGAAAGTACTAGATTGTATAAAGCTAACTAACATAATTTAAAAATAGTGTTGATATCCTTAATATATAAAGAGCATTTAAGAATCAACAGAAAAAAACAAATGCTCCAATAGAAAAATGGACAGATGCCACAAAAAAGCAGTTCATAAAGAATAAATAAAAGTAGCCAAGTAAAATAACCAATAAAAGATATAAATAGATATATAAATATATATAATCACTCTACATTAAATAAAAATATGAATATAAACAGTACTCTGTTATTTTAGGTGGAGACTGATAAAATACAATATTGGTCAATATCTGAGGAAGCAGGTAATCTTATATATTGGGTGCAAGAATATAAATTGGTGTAGTCTTTCTGGAAAGCAGTGTAACACTATATTCCAAATTGTAAAATGAGTCTACCCTTTGATTCAGGATTTTAGCTATTCTAAGTAGATAATCAAACAATTACATCAAAATGTTTTTATAGGACCACACATGGTGGTTCATGCCTATAATCCCAGAACTTTGGAAGGCTTAACTTCCTTAAGCCTAGAAGTTTGAAATCAGCCTGGGCAACAAGGTGAAACCCTGTCTCTACAAAAAACAAAATACAAAAATTGGCCAGGTGTTGTGCCGCATACCAGCAGTCCCAGCTACTCGGGCAGCTGAGGTTGGAGGATTGCTTGAGCCTGGGAGGTAGAGGCTATAGTGAGCTGTGATCCTGCCTCTGCACTCCTGCCTGGGAGACAGAGCGAGACCCTGTCTCAAAAAAAAAAAAATGTTTTTACAAGTAATTCTCACAGCATTCTTTCAAATATAATGAACATTTGGGAAGAATTTAAATGTCTATTAATAAGGGATTAGTTAAGTTATTATATATCTATTAAATGAATTTTTGTGAAGCCATTATATATAGTGATACACAGTAGGGGTCGGTAGGCTATGACTCAAAGGCCAAATTCAGCCTATTGCCTGGTTTTGTTGATAAAGTTTTATTGGAACACAGCCACATACACTAATGTATGTACTTTCTATACATGAATTAGTTTATGTAATGTTAGCTGTCATGGCTGCTTTTGTACCGTAATGGCTGAATTGAGTAGTTGCAACACAGACCAAATGGTCCAGAGGCCTGAAATATTTATTATCTGTTCCTTTACAAACAAGTTTGCTAACTCTTGATATATAGCTTTATTTATTGATGTGGAAAGCTCTCTCTAACATGTTATTGCATGAAAAAAGCAGGGTACAACAATCACACATAGGTAGTGATCACCTCGTTACATAAAATCATGTGGTGATAGGAGGGGCAAAAAAAAAAGCACCTTAAAGAATATAGTTTTGGCCGGGCACGGTGGCTCACGCCTGTAATCCCAGAACTTTGGGAGGCCGAGATGGGCAGATCATGAGGTCAGGAGATCGAGATCATCCTGGCTAACACGGTGAAACCCCGTCTCTACTAAAAATACAAAAATTAGCTGGGTGTGGTGGTGGGCGCCTGTAGTCCCAGCTACACAGGAGGCTGAGGCAGGAGAATGGCATGAACCCGGGAGGTGGAGCTTGCAGTGAGTGGAGATTGCATCACTGCACTGCAGCCTGGGTGACAGAGCAAGACTCCGTCTCAAAAAAAAAAAAGAATATAGTTTTGAGAGAGATATCCTGAATCATGTTTAACAAAATATTCTGGGTTACCTGTAAGTTGTGAGACTTCAAGTGATTTTTCCTTCCTTAACCTCTGTATATTTTTCTGTAATTGCTAAGTTTTTAAAACCAATCAAGTTATTACATTTTTTTTTGAGATGGGGTCTTGCTCTGTTGCCCAGACTAGAGTACAGTGGCACAATGTCGGCTCACCGCACACTCTGCCTCCCAGGTTCAAACAATTCTCTTGCCTCAGCATCCCGAGAAGCTGGGATTACAGATACCTGCCACCACATCTGGTTAATTTTTGTATTTTTTTTTAGTAGATATGGTGTTTCACCATGTTAGTCAGGCTGGTCTTGAACTCCTGACCTCAGGTGATCCACCCGCCTCGGCCTCCCAAAGTGCTGGGATTATAGGCATGAGCCACTACATCTGGCCCCTGTTTTTCAAACAAAGAACTTGAACTGATAACTTACAAAAGAAGAAATAGAGCTACTAAGCAGACACAGGGGAAATGTTAAAGCCTTGCAAATAGTGTAAACTGAAAGTATTTTATCTTTTAAATTAACAAATTTTGAAACTATTTCATACCAGTTCTGAGTTCAGTGAAACTCTTCTTTCATAAATTGATGGTGGCCTTATAAATAGTGACAATTTTGGAAAATAATTTGACAACATTTTAGTACCTTTTAATATACACCTTGAATTTTTCTAACTTTAATGTACACCTTAAAACAGTAATCTCGCATTTAGAAATATATAGTTTCACAGAAATAATTTCAGTTTATGAAAGACTATATACAACAAGTTGTCTAAATAGCATAAAATGTCTTTGATTTAAAGCTAAATGTAGTTGAACATAAAATCTCACAAATGCTATGTTTACTGCAGTGGCAAAAATACAGAACAATGTGAAGTACAAACAAAGGTGAAGAACAACTGACATTCTCATGCTTTGCTGGTGAGAATGTAAAGCATCCACTCTGCAAAATCGTTTTTCAGTTTTTTATAAAGTTAAGCATATATTTACCAGATGGCACACAATTCTACCTCTATATATTTACGCTTGAAAAATCAAAACTTCTGTTCACAAATAAATATCTACATGGATATTTATAGCAGTTCTATTCATAAATGTCAAAAGCTGGAAACAACCCAAATATTCTTCAGTGGGTAATAAAACAAACTGTGGTGCAGCCATAAAGTGGAGTGCCACTCAGTAGTAAGAAGGAACATGCTATTGATAATCATGACAACTGAATGAATCTTAAAAGCATTATGTTGTATGAAAGAAGGTGGCCTTAAAAGCTCACACAACGTATGATTCCATTTATGTCTTTGGCAGACAGACCAAAGGATACAGAGCAAAGTGTTTGCCAAGTTTAAGTGTGGAGGAGGGTGTGGCAATAAAGGGATAGCATCACGGAATTTTTTGGCAAGATAGGCTGTTCTGTATCCTTATTGTAGTGGTGGCTATACAAACCTATAGACATTAAATTCATTGAACGATACACCAAAATACAGTAAATTTTACTCCATGTTAATAAAAAAAAACCAAATTGTTTAGGAAAATACTGGAAGAGAATGCATGAAAATTACAATATTGTTTGTTTAAGGTGATGGTGTTATGGACAATTTTCTTTTCTTGTTTCCCCAATGTTACATGAAAAAATTGTTTCTATAACTAATATACTTATAAACAAACATATTGAAAGACTCTAAATTCATGGTACTATATAAGTTTGAGAAATGAACAAATAGCCCTTCATATGTCAATAAAATCTTTTTCTTTTTTTCACGGAATCTTGCTCTGTCACCCAGGCTGGAGTGCAGTGGTGCAATCTCAGCTCACTGCAACCTCCGCCTCCCAAGTTCAAGCAATTCTCTTGCCTTGGCCTACCTAGTAGCTGGGATTACAGGTGCGTACCACCACACCCAGCTAATTTTTATATTTTTAGTACAGACAGGGTTTGGCCATGTTGGTCAGGCTTGTCTCGAACTCCTGACCCCAGGTGATCTGCCCACCTTGGCCTCCCAAAGTGCTAGTATTACAGACCTGAGCCACCATGCCCGGCCCATATGGCAATAATATCTGAAGACACTGTGCATCTTACATCATAAGGAGCAGTTCAAATTGTGTCCAGGAGCCTATTTATGAAACTAATAAAGCATGCAATTTACTTTAGGAAGCACAAGTGTAAGTACTCATGGAATTTTTGCTTTGTTAAAGCTTCTTTTATTTGGAAAATTTACTTTTGTAGAATTCTCTATTCACCTTTGATGCCAAATAAATGAGATTATGTTTTAAGGCAATAATAACCTCATGTAAACAGGCATTATCTTATTTGTTCTTCAAAATCCTCTAACCCCACCACCAGAAGGTAAAAACGGTTAGTGTATGCTCTTGTTGGAAAAGAGGAAACCAAGGTACAGAAACATTCTAGTTTAAACACTGCGTAATAAAAATACTGTTTTATTTAACTTTTCTTCAAGAAGACGGATTGTACTTTTTTTGTTGCTTGCCAGTAATGATATTTAAGATAATACTATTGTATCTTTTCTTTCAATAATTTCCTGGACTTTATTAGGAGAAAAAGTATTTGTTTTATTATTGAAAATTCATAAGTGCTTTGGTTGTGATGAAATTCTCTCATCTGTTTGGTGTTTCAGGATTTTATATTGCACGCTGATCTTGCCTATGTATTACCTCGAGCCTTTCTTTTCATACATCTTCCTCAACCTACAGCTCATGATCTTGCAGGTCCTTCACCTTTACTGGGGTTATTACATCTTGAAGATGCTCAACAGATGTATATTCATGAAGGTAAGGACTGCCCAAATGTTATTGCTCTTAATGTCATTACCAGGTTAATGGTGAGGCCCAGACTGTTGAATGTTCAAGTTAATTCATGGTTTTAGCCAGAATTCTTTTTTTCTTGATTTGATTATTTTTGATTAACATTTTGGTAAAATAGAGCTAGATTTTTCATAAGTAGGTCTTTAAGGTGCTTTAAATAAATTGCTTTTATTAGAACATCTTATTTTTGACATTTAAAAAATGTCAAAAATTCAAAAATTCTAAAAATTGCTGCTTGTTTTTATGCTTGAAGAAAATTTTTAAACTTTTGTTTATTGATATGTAATATTTGTGCATATTTATGTGATATTTTGTACATGCATAGAATGTGTAGTCAGGACATTTGGGGTATCCATCATCTTGAGTATTTATCATCTCTTAGTGTTGGGAACATTTCAAGTCCTCTCTTACAGCTATTTTGAAATATACAGTGTATTATTGTTAACTACAGTCACCTGCTACTGAACATTGGAATTTGTTCCTTTTATCTAACTCTAAGTTTTTACCTATTACCCAGCCTTTCTTCATCTTCCTCCAACCCCACCAACACACTCTTCCCAACCTGGTGTCTATCATTCTACTCTTTGATATATTGGTTTTTTTGTTTTGTTTTGTTTTGTTTCTTTGCATGAATTTCCAGTAGTGAGATTGCTGTGTCATATGGCAGTTCTACATTTAGGTTTTGAGAAATCTACATTCTATTTTCCATAGAGATTGTGCTAATTTACATTCCCACAAACAGTATATAAGAGTTCCTTCTCCTTTACATTCTCACCAGTGTCTGTCAATCACTTTTTGCCCTTTAAATAATAGCAGTTTTAACTGGGTGAGATGATATCTCATTGTGGTTTTGACTTGCATATTTCCCTGATGGTTAGTGATGTTGAGCATTTTTTCATATGCCTGTTGGCCAGTGTATGTTTTTTCTTCAGAAATATTTATTCATGTCCTTTGCCCCTTTTTAATGGAATTACTATTATTATTTGTTGTTGTTGTTTTACTGTTGAGCTGTTTGTGTTCCCTGTATATTCTGGATATTAGTCCACTATCAGACGAATAATTTGCAAATATTTTCTCCCATTCTACAGTTTGTCTTTTCACTATGTTGATTGTTTCCTTTGCTGCACAGAAGCTTCTTAGTTTAATATAGTCCCATGTGTCTATTTCGGGTTTTGTTGCCTGTGCTTTTGGGGTCTTAGCCATTGAATCTTTGCCTAGACCAATATCCTGAAGTATTTCCCTGAAGTACTTCCCTTATGTATTCTTCAAGTAGTTTTATATTTTAGGGTCTTATATTTAAGTCTGTAATCTATATTGAGTTGATTTTTGTATATGATGAGAGATAGAGATCTAATTTCAATCTTCTGCATGTGGATATCCAATTTTCTACACACTATTTATTGAAGAAGGTGTCCTTTCCCCCAGTGTATGTATTTTTTTTTTTAATTTCTGTGAAAAATGGCATTGGTATCTTTTTTTTTTTTTTTTTGACAATGTCTTGCTCTGTCTTCAAGGTTAGAGTGCAGGGACATGATTATGACTCACTGCTGCCTCAATCTCCCAGGCTCAAGCAATGCTCCCACTTCAGACACTCAAGTAGCTAGGACTCCAGACACATGCCACCACACTTTGCTAATTTTTAAAATTTTTTGTAGAAATGGGGTCTCTATGTTTTCCAGGATAGTCTCAAACTCTTGGGCTCATGCGATTCTCTTGCCTTGGTCTCCCAAAGTGCTGGAATTACAGGTGTAAGGCACTATGCCTGGCCAACGTTGCTATCTTGGTAGAGATTGAATTGAATCTGTAAATTGATTTGAGCAGTCTGGTCATTTTAATATTAACTTTTCTAATCCATGAGCATGAGCTGTCTTTCCATTTGTTTGTGTCCTCGTCAATTTTTAAAAATCAATGTTTTGTAGTTTTCCTTGTAGAGGTCTTTTACCTCCTTGGTTAAATTTATTCCTAGGTATTTTTGTAGTTACTGTAAATGAGATTGCCTTATTGAGTTCTTTTTCAGTTAGTGTGTTGTTCATATATAGACACACTATTTTTTTATGTTGAATTTGTATCCTGTCACTTTACTGAATTTATTTATCAGATCTAAGACTTTTTTGGTTCTTTAGGTTTTTCTGGATATAAAACCATGCCACCTGCAAAGAGGGACAATTTGACATCCTCTTTTCTAATTTGGATGCCTTTTATTTCTGTCTCTTGCCTGATTGCTCTGACTTTGATGTCCAGTACTACATCGAATAGGAGTAGTAAAGTGAGCATCTTTGTCTTGTTCCAGTTTTTAAAGGAAAGGCTTTCAGCTTTTCACCATTTAGTATGATGTTAGCTATGAATTTGTCATGTATGCCCTTCATTATGTTCAGGTACATTCCCTCTGTGACTAGTTTGTTGAGAGTTTTTATCATAAAAGGATGCTGAATTTTATCAAATGCTTTTTCTGTGTCTATTGAGATGATCATATGAATTGTATTATACATTCTGTCTGTGTAATGTGTCACATTTATTGATTTGTTTATGTTGAATCAACCTTGCATCCCTGGGATGAATCCCTCTTGGTATTGGTATGTTACCTTTTTGATGTACTGTTGGATTTGGCTTGCTAGAATTTTGTCGAGAATTTTTGTATCTATGTTAATCAGGGATATTGGCCTGTAGTATTTTTTTTGTTGTTGGGTCCTTGTCTGGTTTTGATATCAAGGTAATGCTGGCCTTGTAGAATGAGTTAGGGAGAATTCCCTTCACTTCAGTTTTTTTTTTTTTTTTTTTTTTTTTTTTTTTTTTTTTCTTTTTTTTTAGTAGTTTAAGGAGAATTGCTATAAATTCTTCTCTATAAGTTTGGTGGAATTTAGCAATAAAGCTATCTGGACCTGGACTTTTCTTTGTTGAAAGACTTTTTGTTACTGATCCAATCTCTTTACTTTTTACTGGTCTGTTCAGATTTTGTTTCTTCCTCAGTCAGTCTTGGGACATTGTATGTATTTATGAATTTAACCATTTCCTCTAGGTTTTCCAGTTTGTTAGTGTATAGTTATTCACTATAGTTTCTGAAAAATTTTTGTATTTCTGTGGTATCAATTGTAATGTGTCTTTTTTGTTTCTGATTTTCTTTATTTTGATCTTTTCTCCTTTTTTCTTGGTCAGTCTAGCTAGCAATCTATTTTGTTTATCTTTTCAAAAAACCAACTTCTAATTTTGTTGATTCTTTGTAATTATTTTCAGTCTCTTTCATTTAGATTTGCTCTGATCTTTATTATTTCTTTCCTTCTACTAATTTTCTATTTGGCTTGTTCTTGCTTTCCTAGTTCATTGAGGTTCATCACTAGATTTTTATATGACATCTTTCTACTTTTTTGATGTAGAAGTTTATTGCTATAAACTTCCCTCTTAGCACTGTTTTTGTTTTATCTCATAGGTTTTGATATGTTGTGTTTTGATTTTCACTTGTTTCAAGAAATGTTTTGATTTCCCTCTTAATTTCTTTCTTGACCTACTGGTCATTTGGGAGCATGTTGTTTAATTTCCATGTATTCATACAGTTTTCAAAGTTTCTCTTATTATTGATTTAATAAATGGGTCATTTAATTATTGATTTAATAAGTGGGTCATTTTTAAATCCATTCAGCCAGTCTATATCTTTTAAGTGGAAAGTTTAATCTGTTTACATTCAAGGTTAGTATTAATATGTGAGGGGTTATTTCTGTCATTTTATTAATTAATTTCTAGTTATTCTGTATATCCTTTGTTTCTTTCTTTCTCTCTTATTGTTTATCATTGTGGTTTGGTGGTTTTCTGCAGTGGTAACGTTTGAGTCCTTTCTCTTCTTTATCTAATACATTGTGGCCTAAAAAGACACTACATGTAATTTCAGTTTTTAAAAATTTGTTGAGACATGTTTTGTGTCCTAACATATGGTCTCTCCTGGAGAATGTCCCATGTGCTGATGAGAAGAATGTGTATTCTGTAGCCACTGGATGAAATGTTCTGTAACAGTCTGTTAGGTCCATTTTGCATAAAGTGCAGTTTAAATCCAATGTTTCTTTGTAAATATTTTGTCTAGATGGTCCATCTAGTAGGGTGATAGTAGGGTGTTGAAGTCTGCCACTATTATTGTATTGGGCTTCATCTCTCTCACTAGTAATACTTGCTTTATATGTCTGAGTGCTCTATTGTTGGCTACATATATATTTAGAATTGTATTTCTTGCTGAGTTGATCTCTTTATCATTTTATAATTGACTTTTTTGTCTATTTTTACTGTTTTTTTTAATTAAAGTCTGTTTTGTCTGATATAAGTATAGGTGTTTCTGCTTGCTTTTGGTTTCCACTTGCAGGAGTAACTTTTTACATTCCTTTACTTTTAGTCTGTATGTTTTGTTTGGTTTTGGTTTTCTGTTTGTTTTGTTTTTTGGTTTTTTGAGACAGAGTCTTGCTGTCACCCAGGCTAGAATGCAGTGGCACGATCTCGGCTCACTGCAAGTTCCGTCTCCCAGGTTCACACCATTCTCCCATCTCAGCCTCCCTAGAGCTGGAACTACAGGTGCCCACCACCACACCTGGCTAATCTTGTTTTTGTATTTTTAGTAGAGACAGGGTTTCACCGTGTTAGCCAGGATGGTCTTGATCTCCTGAACTTGTGATCTTCCCACTTTGGCCTCCCAAAGTGCTGGGATTACAGGCATGAGCCACCGTGCCTGGCCTAGTCTATATGTGTTTTTACAGGTGAAATGAGCTTCTTGTAGGCAGCATATAGTGGGTCATTTTTAAATCCATTCAGCCAGTTTATATCTTTTAAGTGGAAAGTTTAATCTGTTTACATTCAAGGTTAGTATTAACATGTGAAGGGTTATTTCTGTCATTTTATTAATTAATTTCTAGTTGTTCTGTATGTCCTTTGTTTCTTTCTTTCTCTCTTATTGTTTATCATTATGGTTTGGTGGCTTTCTGCAGTAGTAATAT